TTAGCGACGTTGCATTTTGCGTCAGGAAAGATTTTTCCCGACGTTTTTTAAACTTTTGCCGATATTTTTGTTTCGTCGGTAATGTTGTATTTTGTTGTAGTGGCATAACGTGCAACATTAGGACCAATCTCAGTCTACAGAGCACCCACTCCTTCCTAACATTTTGAAATCTTTGACAACTTCAGTAAAATAACATGACTGAAAAATGTAGAATTAATTGGAGTTCAATATAAAACTTGTCTGACTATAGTAGAGTAAGCATTCAGAGCTCCTGAATACGTCTTGGTACACCCGCTGGAAGCTTTCCTTCAGCTTGAAGTCGTACTTTCACCAAATCGGTTGGATTAGCGACTGTTATTGCTATAACACATATTTGACAATTATAACATAAACATGTTATAAAATTGTCAGGAGTATCCCAAAGAAGAAATCTTACCTTAGAAATTAAAAAAACTCAAATGTAAATTGGTCAAACAGATGCACTTTCACTGATATAGACATTATGAATTAAACTATAAAATGGACCTAGACCTACTAGTTGTAAGACCAACAAGTATTTTCTTGATTAGAGGAATATCTCCAACGAAATTCTCACCAACATACAAGGATTTAACCTAACAAAAGAGCCAATAACTGACAAATAAGGAATATAAATATCAAGCAAATTCCCATTTGATAAACAGTATAAACTTACCGGCTCATACAGTCCAATCTGTAGGCCTCCAAATACACATTGACAATGTAATGCTGGCACAATACCTTTCCAAAGTGCTGCCAGGCCTTCTTCTCTAGCAATTGTAGATACAGTGCCTAACAATTGTAGATACAGTGTCCAAAGGAATGGTGCAAATGTTGCACATGAATTTATTCACAAATCTACTAATTAATCTCAAACTACTACAAAACTAATTCTCTTATTCAAAAACTAAGAAATATATTTTACAACCTAATTTCAGCAATAATTAGAATCTAAATTTTTTTAAGCAAGTCACATGAAGAGTACATTAAACTTGATAGAGTTTTAAGCAAGTCACATGAAGAGTACATTAAACTTGATAGAGGCAAAAACTCAAAACACCTCACACTTGAAAATAATAACACAAAAATAGCCTCACACTTAGAAAACCAATGGAAATGTTCTCACAATTGGAAAAACCAAACCAATGCCCACACATTTGGGAAAAACCCAAACGAAAAAAAAAACACTAACAAATAACCCATTTTCGAGTCAAGTGCGCATTGCGTGCACCAAGATACTACTGATACTATGTGGCAATTCTAAAAAGACAACAAAAGAATCATATCAATTATCAAATTATCAATCCGCTTCTCTACACAAGACAACAAAGTTTGGTTCTATGAAAAGCCATCATCATCAAACTGCGCTTATTGAAATCAGTAATAGTAAAGACAGATAAGAAGAATGACTAAAATTACCAACCAGAATGGTAGGTGGTTTGATGGAGTATGTGAAACATATCATATTTCTAACCTAATATTGTCAAGTGGCTTATGAGTAACTTATACGAAAGAATGTCATATTCAAGATAGGAACTGAATGTTTGAGCATCCTCCAACAACTTGGTTAAGATAGGGGTATGCATAACATTGGAGTAATAATTATTTATTTGTGTCGGTTAAGATAGGGGTATGCATAACATTGGAGTAATAATTATTTATTTGTGTCGCTAAATGACACTTTATTAGTTCTTGAGTTCCTCTAAGCTTATCATAATTAGTGGTAGAAAAAGGCTTTGCATAATTCCATCAGAAGACAAGCTAAAAATGAAAAAAAAAAAAAAAAACTCAAAGAGTACTAATATAAAGTATAATACAAAGAATGACAGATTATTCCCACCACTGAGAAGATCATATCTACTTAAAATCGTATAGAAGAAGCAAAGCTGGGGCGAGATAGTTGTATCTATCTATTTTTGTAAAACAAGAACAATAACTAAAATTTATACAGTGAAAAATTCCCTCTGCCGACACAAAAAGAGAGTACAAAACAAACATTGGAGGTGATGCAACAACCTAATGCTTAATCAAAGAAGATTATTTCCTGACACAAAATATGAAAACTATTTCTCGGGAAACAGACAAATATACAAATTTGTTAATCGAGGAAGAATAATATTTTTAACAAATAATCCACATCATAAAATAGTTTTCAGAAAAATAAAAAAAAAATCTCTTCGTAAAATCTAACGGTAAGAGAGATGAGTGTAGGATACCTGTTAAGAGCGTGATTTGTGATGGCAAATTCATAAACTCAGGAGATGACTCCAACCTCCAATATAGAGAAATTTCATAACGAACTTCCCTATAGACTCAAAAAAGAAAAAAAAAAGAAAAAAACAAATGAAAAGGAGACTGATAACAGTAAGCTAAATAATCATAAGTCAATAAGTTTTCAAGAATAACAAACACATTTCACGTTCAAATTTTTATTTGTAAGATGTCTCTTATCATCTGAATTGGCTTTTAACCCTCTACTTTGTTGGGCCTATTTTATAGTTGGGTGAAGATGCGGCCTGCTTCCTATTCTCGCGGATTCCTATATTTGATAAAAGTTTTCTATGAAAAAAAAGATAGAAGCTTATGGGTAATTCCTCTTTTATTTCTCCGCCGGCTTGATATGATAGAAGGAAAAGTGAGGAAAGGAGAGGGATAAAAATTAAATTTATTTTTGAAAGGGAATTTTCAGAGGGGGAGGTATGATGAGGGGACACAATAAAAATAAACTAAAAAGTTAGAAAAAGAAAAATACCTCTAAATTGTGAGTATATAAGAGGAAAGAGAAAATAAACTATAAAAGTATGCATCTCTTCTTTCCTCCTCTCAAACCAAACATGTTCCAGTGGGTTTGGGTAGAGAATAGAGTAGGGGACGGGATAATTAAATTTTACCCAAGAGGAGGGAAGTGGGAGGACCGGAGTGTGATCTAACTGATTGTGTTTGGATAGATAACTAAGGGATGGGGAGGGAGGGAGGGTGATAGAACTAATTTGTATTTGTTTAAAGTAAAAATAGAAAGAGAATGGAGCAATTTATTTAAAATTCAACCCCTTCCTTCATAATCCGCCCACCTTAGAAGGGTTTAAAAAGTGAGAAAATTTGCTTCCTTTTAACTCTCCAAATTCTTCCCTTCTCTTACTGAAAAATGTAGACAAACACATTTTTTTTAAGTTGGTTAACATAGTAACATCCTAACTCCTCCCCTCCCTCTTGAAAAAAAATCTACCTAAACTGACCAAAAATCTTAATGGAACGTCCATTCCTCCCCTGACCTTACCTTCCCTCCTCAAACATTTATCAAACCAAGCCACATATAAATTCAATCTACCAATACATATGTTTATGTTGTACATGAAAACATAAAGTTATATCTCACTAGTAGAAAACTGAGTATTGGCGACGGATTTAAAATCCGTCGCCAATACAAACATTGGCGACGGAACATTGGCGACGGGATTGTTCCCGTCGCCAATGTTTGTATTAGCGACGGATTTCAATCCGTCGCCAATGTTTTCCGTCGCCCATAACCTTTGGCGACGGGATAACATTGGCGACGGATAGAATCCGTCGCCAATACTTATTGGCGACGGAACATTGGTGACGGATCAATTACGTCGTCAATACGTATTGGCGACGCATCATTTCCGTCGCCAATACTTATTGGCGACGGATAGAATCTGTCGCTAATAAGTATTGGCGACGGATGTGATCCGTCATCATGTTTGTCGGGCAATGACTGTATCTGGGCGACAGATTTCGATCCGTCGGGCCAATACACATTGGCGCGACGAAGATCCGATCCGTCTCCAATAAGTATTGGCGACGGATTCTATCCGTCGCTAATGTTCCGTCGCCAATACTTATTAGCGACAGATTCTATTCATCGCCAATAAGTATTGACGACGAAAATGATGCGTCGCCAATACGTATTGGCGACGGAATAGATACGTCACCAATGTTCCGTCGCCAATACTTATTGGCGACGGATCGAATCTGTCGCCAATAAGTATTGGCGACGGATGTCGATCCGTCGTCAATACACATTGGTGACGAATTCAATCCGTCGCCAATAAGTATTGGCGACGGATTCGAGTCGTCGCCAATGTTCCGTCGCCAATACTTATTGGCGACGGATTCGAATACGTCGCCAATACTTATTGGCGACGGATTCGAATACGTCGCCAATACTTATTGGCGACAAATCAAATCTGTCACCAATGTCTGTCGCCATCGTAAAAAATTAACATTAGTGATTTATTATCCCATTGTTAATGAGTGGCCCCACAAAAAATTAAGAATTATTTTAATTTAGTCCCTCAAATCTATAATATTTTAAATATAGTCCAATACTATTTTGTTCCACGCAGGTAGATGATAGCTTGAGAGCTGAGGACATGGAAGTCTACTATGATCCAGGACAGTTGTTTGGTGGCCTTTTCAAGGGCCCCCTGCCACAAGTAAAAAAATAAGGTATCCTAGACGGAAAATTTCGTCTAGGATACTCAGAATTCCGTCTAAGATGTGTATTTTAGACGGAATTCCGTCTAGAATACGCGTCTAGGAAGTTTCCGTCTAGGATGTATTCTAGACGAAAATTCCGTCTAGAATACATCCTAGACGGAATATTCTAGCTGGAATTCAAAACCGTCTAGAATACATCCTAGACGAAATATTCTAGACGAAAATTCCGTCTAGAATACTTCATCCTATCCGGAAAAATTTTCCGTCTAGGATGAGTATTCTAGACGAAAATTTCCGTCTAGGATAATCATCCTAGACGGAAGGATGTTTTTTAATTTTTCTAAATTTTTTTAAAAAAAAAAGCTATCCTAGACGGAATTTGAGCATCCTAGATAAAATTTCCGTCTAGAATGCTATGCTACAGTATTTTTTTTTTAAGAATCTGCTTTGGGTGCATGTACACAATGTTAAACAACACTAAATTATATTCATATATAACACAATCTAATTATATTCCAATATCAAATCTAATTATATTCTAATAATACATTCACCAAAATACTGAAAAAAAATTGTTTACAAACTTTTACATCAATTATTTACACGAATTCACATAGGATTTTCCCTTCGCAATCAACTCATCATCATCACCACTCTTCTTATTAAGCCCAAGCCTATTCTTCCTTGCCTCTTCCTCTTTAACATCTTCCTCGCCTTTGTCAGAATGATTGCATGTATCTTCGCTTTTCACCTTCTTGGAACGATTCCCTTCAGCCCCACCATCATGCATGCCTTTACCATCGATATTATCATTCAAAAACAAAGATATATTATCATTCAAAATCAAAGATAAATAAATCCAAGACTGGAAATGCCATGAACCACATGCCTTAAAATTTGTGATGCCACTCATGTCAAAGGAAGATGAACAATCTGATTATTGTAGGACATGTGAATCATCATGATTAACTGACATTTTAATAAAACAGATGCATGCCAGCAAAACAACAACAAAAAAGTACTCAATAGAAGCATCTTGTTTAGAATTAGTATGAAATGTGAGCAATAACGTTAAATACACAACCCAACCAAAAGCTTACAGGTCTAAGCAATGGATATATCAGCACCTTGATGTCCATTCAATGTGTCATTTGGCTTCTAAGCTCGCCTTGTCCCATGTCAAAACTCATTCTGACTCCTAATAATTTGGGTTGGGAAAAACTGTATATGATTCAATTTTAACTGGAATATTCCGTCTAGAATATTCCGTTTAGGATATGAGAATTTTTACTAGTGCGACTATGTCATTAATTTTCTCTTGCATACGCCAATTTAATTACAAGTAACATCAACAGAAAGGAACTTTAAAATCAGTGACATTGCTAATCAAGGCATAAATCTTGTAAGCTATTTGTGAAGCCTACCAAGACAGCTTTTGATATGTTGGCACTTCAATGTTTTCAGTTACATGTTAGTATGAAGTTTGGCTCCAAGTGCATGTCAGAGCTTTTAAAATCTGAAGCATACCTGAATTATAGGATCCAGTAAAGCAGTAATCACAGGATCAAAGTCAGGCTTCTTCCTAGATGCAGGAACCATCATGCCATCATAGGTATCAATAAGCTCAAGCAGCAAAGAAACACCTTCCCTTACTGCTGATTGTTTGCGGGGAAAGTTGTTGTATTCATTGCTGTATTCATTACAACTTCAGTCGTTACAATGAAACAAAAAGATGGCATTTTTATAAGACTCTTACACAATGAAAACAAAAAAAAGTACAACTCTCTTCAAACAAACGCAGAGATCGTTTATCGGTCTTCTGCTTGCGTGGGTCTTTTGCCTGTGACGGGGACGTCAGTATCCGTGGACCACCTGGCACTCAGATCTGTTCCGGCGTGAGATCTAGAAGCCTGAATCGTCTATCTCGGCTAAAACGAGATATCAGCTCTTCTTAGTGATTACCGGCGAAGGGTAATACTAAGGAAAAAGGGGGGGAACGGGTGATGAAGGCTCTGATGAAGACCTCTCCTCTCCTTGTTGAAGCGCTCGACCACTCTTCACTGCAGCAGGGCTTCGCCAATCTTCTCCAAAAATCCTCTCCCCGCCAAAAGTGAGGGCTAAGGGCACTATTTATAGGCAATGGGGGCACCTAGGGTGCCTAGACACCCCTGGGGTGGCACTATTTATAGGCAATGGGGGCACCTAGGGTGCCTAGACACCCCTGGGGTGTCTCCACAAATCCGAGGGGTGTCTCCACAAATCCGAGACACCCCTGGGTTGTCTCCACAAATCCGAGACACCCTAGGGTGTCTCGGAAATTCCGAGACACCTTGGGGTGTCTCGGATTTTCCGAGACACCCCTAGGGTGTCTCGGAATTTCCGAGACACCCCTGAGATGTCTCGGAATTTCTGAGACACCCCTGGGGGTGTTTTGGAACTCCTGAGATGTCCGTTAAGGTGCATTCGATTGTTTTCGCCGTAAATTCTTCGTTCGAACTCGGATTTGAGTGATTCCAAGTGCGTTGGAAGCTTGACGAAGAGTTCTATCTGCTTCAATGGTTGGATTATCTGTGGAATGAACGAGACTCGAAGGACGTTGTTCTCTTTGTGAACATCGCCGGGTTCCCGATTAGCCCGTGCCTTTGTTATCCCGAAATCCTATCAGCTCACGTAGTTCGTCGATTCACTTCAATCGTTCATCGACATCAATCGAACTCCCGTGAATCGGATCGTGACGTTCATCGTCGCTCTTTAACACTGAACCGTTCGTGGAGACCTATAGGCAATTTTCGATGCCTACAAATACCCCCTCAAAAGCGTTCCGGACTCGTTTCTTTTATAGAAGAGGCTGGAATACTTTGGACATGATTGGTCTAGCCTTCAGTCGACGTAAGGACCTGTAGTTAGCTTCAACTCTTGGCTCCTTCGATTTTCGGTCTATTCGATGCTTTGACGAATAGCCGAAGTTCTTTCGGCGCTGCGTTTATCGCTTGGCCGTCGTCGGAGTCTCGAGTCTGCAGCTGATGAATTGAGTTTGGCTCGTGTCATTGAGTTGACCTTGAACTACCTCCGTCACATTGTGTTGACTTAGGGTTTCAGATCATCGTGTGTTGACTTTTTGTCGCAACGCGTTGACTGGCGTTGACCTAGGGTTACGCGTTGACCGGCGTTGACCCTAGGGTTTTGAATCGTCGAACGTTGATTAGTGTGGATTTTGAATCCTCGATAGTTCTTTCATTGCAACGCATTGATAGGCGTTGACCTAGGGTCACGCGTTGTCCGACGTTGACCTTAGGGTTTTGAACGTCGTACGTTGACTTTTTGATCGCAGCGCGTTGACTGGCGTTGACCTAAGGTTACGCGTTGACCGGCGTCCACCCTAGGGTTTCGAATTGTCGAACGTTGACTTTTGTCGCAACGCGTTGCTTGGCGTTGACCTGGGGTTACGGGTGACCGGGGTTGACCCTTAGGGTTTCGAATCGTCGAACGTTGATTTGTGTTGCAACGCGTTGACTGGCGTTGACCTAGGGTTACGCGTTGATCGGCGCTGACCCTTAGGGTTTCGAATCGCCATTAACACAGTTTATACTCGTACGTTTGCTGGAGTATACACAGTTTAAGCTCTTAAGGTATTGGAGCAGGGCGGTCCCGAATGTTGGGGCTGCAGGACCAACTGTTAAAGCTAATTCATCTGTATGTGTGGATTTTATCCTGAATTTGTTGGATGCTCAAGTCACGGGACCAACTAATGAAGCTGATGCGTCAGTGACCCTCGCATTTATAGGATTTTTGGCAAACCCTCAGCCATCAACGGGTTTGATGAGCCTTTACCGACTACCGTTTGAGTCGGGCTAGTATGCGGATTGTTGACGTTAAGCTAAGAGAGTTAACGCTCTTAGTGCTACGATATTGAATACGTAGACTTCGTCTTTCTCCTATGAAAAGACTAAACAGCAACGTGTATGAGACGTTGACTTAGGATTTTTGGCAAATCCTCAGCCTTCAACGGATTTGACGTGCTCTTACCGACTACCGTTTGAATCGGGCTAGCATGCAGATTGTTTAGATCCGTTCTGCACATAACGTTATGCTAAAAAAGTTAACTCTTTTAGTGCTACGATATTGAATACGTAGACTTCGTCTTTCTCACGGGAATAGACTACCCGGCGACACGTGTTAGGTGTTGACTTTAGGATTTTTTGGCTAATCCCCAGCCTTCAACGGATTTGATTAGCCTTTACCGACTACCGTTTGAGTCGGGTTAGCATGCGGATTGTCTCAATCCGTTCCGCATGTAACGTTGTGCTAAGAGAGTGAATTCTCTTAGACTTTGTGCTATGATGTTGAATACATAGGCTTCGCCTTTGTTACGGGAATAAGCTACCCGACAACACGTGTTAGGTGTTGACTCATCCCTTCTTAGGCTTCGGGATGAAATTCCCCAGACTGGAATTCTGGTGTCTTCTTCAATCGGTAAAAGACTAAACCAGCAACACGTGTTAGGCGTAGGCTTATCTCTATTTAGGAGTCGAGATAAAATTCCCCGTGCACCAAATGCCCGGACTGGAAGTTGAGAATTGTGTCTTTCCTAAGAGCAAAGACAGACTGAGAAACGGGAGAGGAAGAATTTTATATTCTATCTCCCGGTGCTGAAGAGGAAGAATTTTATATTCTATCTTCAGCTGGAAAGGAAACTCGAGGTGGGATTTCCATCCCCAGAATCCGGAAGGATGAAACTAAGAGTGGGATCTCCACTCCGAGAATCGGAAAAATTCGGATAACCCTAACTGTCGGAAGGTTTGATTACCCGATTTGGAAGTGGACCTCTCGTTCATTGGGGGAATCGAGAGGGGATTTTGGCTTTGGCCCTAACTTTTATAGGTTTGACCAGAAAGCAAAGAAAGTGGAATACGGGTAGCAAAGACAGTGCCAACTCGCATTATCACTCACAGGGAGACTTTAATGCTAGGTGATTATGACCTAACATGTTGAGTCTGAGAAATACCAATGACTGGCAGATGGAAATGTTGGTGGATCCACTGTCGTTTAATTTGATCAGCGGATGGTTTGGTGAGGAAAGATTAACCTATCAGATGATTAGATCTCATCTCATAAAAATAACTCATAAGAGTTAGAGAATTTTGATGAAAATAAGAAGAAACATTCTGACCTTCAGAGTTCGAATGTAGATTTCTTATTCGTCAATTCCACAATGACTGGGTTATCCCTAAGAATACCCATGTGATATTCTTCCGGGAACTTCCCGATGCATTGGATTATCCACCCCCAGCTTCTCTCTTGGAACTGGGTTTGACTTTGTTATCTGACCGGGTTATCCTTAAGAATATTAGCGTAATATCCTCCAGGAACTTCCCGTCAATGGTAGGAAATAGTTTAGACTCATATACCTATTGGAGTATCAGGGAACAGTTTAACCTCATATACCGATTGGAGGGTTAAGAAACAGTTTATACTCGTATACTCTTTGGAGTGTCAGGGAGCAGTTTAACCTCTTATACCGGTCGGAGGATTGAGAAGCAGTTTATACTCGTATACTCTTCGGAGTGTTACCGTTCTCAAATGGCTTACCCTAGCGTTATGACGCCGGCTTCAACCAATGTTTGGATGCTATTCTTTAAAGTAAAGCAAGCCTTGGTGGGATGAAGGATCCTCCTGTGGTACGCGCAGTACTTCGGATCCGCAGTATCGTCAGCTTTCCCCTGATTCGTGATGGGTGGCAGCTTGATCTTGTTGTTTTCAAGAAGGGTCTCGAAGATGGCTGGAACGTCTTCGTCTTTGAATGAGTACTCTTTTTGGAGCCTCGGATCCGAATCCTTCTGTTGTCTTCGGAACTGCTGTTGTGACGTTTGATTAACGTCAATAACTGTTGCAGGTGCGTCCCCTTCATCATGAGGTACGAGACTCGAATTCAAAGGGTTAACCATCAGTTGGTTTCTCTCTACTTTCCTCCTTCCGAGGAAGCGTTCGGCCTGTTCTCCGCGTACCTTCAGCTCTCTCCAGGTATTGAGCGGCTCTACTCCCATAACGTCCAAGATGTTAATGGACAAATTGTTATGACAAGTCTGCAAGATGAATTCCTCTGTGACGGGATCCTTGCAGTTCATTGCCTGATTGCGGAAGCGTTTGATGAAGGTATCCACCGACTCTCCGTCTTTTTGTTTCTGATCGAAGAGTGTCCTGACCGACACTTCGGTGTCATCATCGAAGAAATGAGCGAGGAACATGCTTTCCAGGTCCTCCCAGCGGTTGATGCTTCCGGGCTTGAGGCGGCGGTACCAATCGAAGGCGGGCCCGCGAAGGGTGCCAACGAATGACCGAACCATCAAAGGCTCGTTGCCAGAGATCACCCCCAAGTGGGACTTGAAGTAGATTAGATGCTGAGTGGGCGAGCCCTTCCCGTCAAACGGCGTGAAGTTGATCAGGTTGAACTTCGCCGGATACGAGATCGAATCCCTGGTGGGTCCACCCCCAGTGTTGTTATTTTTAGTGGGGCCACCCCCAGTATTCTTGGGTGGTGCGTTGGCCATGACGATTTCGACCACCTCCGGCTCGCTGTTGACTGCAGCGTTCTGGGTGCGATGGTTGGACTCGACTAGCCTGTTCGACAGAGCTCGGATTCGTTGGTCGTGCATTTGTCTCATCTCTTGCATAGCCACTTCCATTTCAAACTTGAAGATTTCCTTCTGCTTAGTCAGGGCCTCTTCAATGATTTTGGCTATCTGATCTGTATTGACCATGAGCACTTCTCGAGCTTGCCCTATGCTAGACGTTGTATCGTCGGAGGCGAGTGCGGAATAAGAATCTGAGAGTTCATCATCGGAATGGACCTCTTCATGGATCCCCTGGTAGTCATTATATCCGACGGCTTCTAGCTGAAGCTGAGCTATTCCCGAATTGACTCTGCTTCCTGGAGAGAAATTAGGGTCGGAACCACTTGAAACAATTGGAGATCTTCCCTTGTTGACCATGTTGATGGTAACTTCTGGGAATTCATCATCTCGAGCAACCGATCTTCTTTGGTGGAAATGCCCTGATTTGGGCTTCGTCGTTCCATCGAAGATTCTCTCGAATATCGAGACCCTCTGCGGAGCGGTCTTGGGACAGCTACACGTTGATAATACTGCCCTGATAAATTTGGTACACGGACAGTGAGAGTCCGCTTCCCGGGTACTTCTCTTTCGAGATTCATTCGCACCCCCAGCCTGATAGTACAACTCATCGACGTTGCGGTCGGAGTAACCTATCGGCTGGTCCCATGGGTTCTCAGGTATAACGCGTTCGTCTGTCTGACGCATTTTCCTCTGAGTAAACATTGCCTTGTTGGCATCTACGGGAGTCACACGTTTGGAATCACACCTTTGTGAGGGTGAAACCTTAACGGGCTCCTGATTTTCTGCACGCATCGCCAAGCAGGTCGTTGCAGCACTCAATTTCTTAGGAGGTCGTGTACGACCCCCAGTCCGGATGTTGGCTCGAAGCTCCTTCAACGATCTGGGGCTTTCCTTAACAAGCGTTTTTCCTCGATTCTCGGGTAGAGCACCGATACGATTGTTCAAAGGATTCCTAAACTTGAGGAAATCTGCGCTGCGGCAGGGCTTTAACGGAGGGTCGGGATCTGAAGTTGACGAAGGCCGGAGAGCAACGTCGCCTGCTTTTGCCTTAGGCGCTGATTTGGCCTTTGGCACCCAAACTCGTTTAGATTTCGGCGATCCCTTAACTGCCTTTTCCCTTTGCGTTTCTTGTGCTTTTCGCATAAGGGTCCGGGCATGCGCACGCAAGGCGCGGCGCTTCTGGATTCGCTCCTCGAGAGTAGAACGAGTTCTTTTGACACGAACCCATTTGTTCGTTTCTGCTTTGGAGGAGGGGTTGGTTGTTCGCCGTTATTGCTCTTGGCGTTGTCTGGATTTTAGATCCACATTATAGCGGATCCCATCCATCGGCTCCAAAGCATTGGCCAGCTGACGAGCAAGGCGTTGACGCCGTCTTTGGCGTGCTCTCTTTGACAATGCTGGAGCGTCTTCAATAGCCATGTCCTCGGCGGAGGAGAAGTCCGGATCTGCGGTCTCGACCACGTTGGACGACGCGGGGACGTCACGTGGTGCAAGTGCAGAGGAGGCAACGGGGTCTTGGATCTTCGAGCCGAAGGTCCTGCAAACATTTCTGGAAGAGGTTACCTTTATGCGCCTGTTCGGAGAGGCGGATCTGGAGGAGGAGGAAGAGAGGCCTTCTTTGAACTGTTGTTGATCGAGCTCGTGTTCTTCATTCACCCCGATCTTGAGTGCTGGTTGCGTCACGACGGCGTCGGTTGCGATGCCGTTGGCTCCCACTGTGGTCGCCAGCTTGTTTGCGGAAAAAGTTGCTGTATTCATTGCTGCATTCATTACAACTTCAATCGTTACAATGAAATAAAAAGATAGCCTTTTTATAAGACCGGTACACAATGAAAACAAAATAGATACAACTCTTTTCAAACAAACGCAAGATCTGTTCATCATCTCTTGCTTGCGTGGGTCTTTTGCCTGTGACGGGGATGTTGATATCCGTGGACCACCGGGGCACTCAGATCTGGTCCGAGAAAATCGGGCAGAGTTTCGTCTATCCGCGGGGGATTTTAGAAACTCTGAACCTCGTCGATCCGCGTGGGATCTCAGAAGTGTAAAGCTTATGTCTCGGCTAAGACGAGGCACTAGCTCTCCTTTGTATCACTCGAAAATTCTGAGACACCTTGGGGTGTCTCGGAAATTTCCGAGACACCCCTAGGGTGTCTCGGAATTTCCGAGACACCCTAGGGTGTCTCGGAAATTCCGAGACACCTTGGGGTGTCTCGGATTTTCCGAGACACCCCTAGGGTGTCTCGGAATTTCTGAGACACCCCTGGGGGTGTTTTGGAACTCCTGAGACACCCGTTGAGGTGCATTCGATTGTTTTCGCCGTAAATTCTTCGTTCGAACTCGGATTTGAGTGATTCCAAGTGCGTTGGAAGCTTGACGAAGAGTTCTATCTGCTTCAATGGTTGGATTATCTGTGGAATGAACGAGACTCGAAGGACGTTGTTCTCTTTGTGAACATCGCCGGGTTCCCGATTAGCCCGTGCCTTTGTTATCCCGAAATCCTATCAGCTCACGTAGTTCGTCGATTCACTTCAATCGTTCATCGACATCAATCGAACTCCCGTGAATCGGATCGTGACGTTCATCGTCGCTCTTTAACACTGAACCGTTCGTGGAGACCTATAGGCAATTTTCGATGCCTACACTGATGGTGGGGATAAATCAACTTGAACCAAAGGATCAAGAAGTTAATTTCATTACAATGCAATTAAAATTAGGTTGAGATTCCAAGCACAAAACAAACAAGCAGACCTGATGGAGCCATCCTAACATATCTCCTACATAACGCAAGGGATCCTGATTGAGGCAATGTTGCCTGATAAAGTGCAGATTTTAAGTAAGACTAGATTCATATAATGGAAAGAAAACATATTTTACCAAATCTAATATATTTGATAAATTTAACGAATAATTTTTCAAAACAGGCCGATTTAGCTTTTTATTTTTCAAAATCGACCGTTTTTTTTTTATTTATCAAAATCATCCCCGGTTTTGTGATTAGCAGGTTAATCACTATTCTAAATAGTCGGGGTTGCCCCAACTATTTAGGAGGGTGTTAAACCCTAATTAAAGACCTTAAACCCTAAAAATTAATATCCTAATTAGTCGGGGTTGGCAACCCCGACTATTTAGGATAGTGATTAACCTGCTAATCACAAAACCGGGTCGATTTTGATAAATAAATAAATAAACGGTCGGTTTTGAAAAATAAAAAGCTAAATCGGCCTGTTTTGAAAAATTGTTCTAAATTTAACACATAAGCTAACAACTGGCAAATTTTAATTAAAAAGACATATCATTGAACACATAACATTACCTGTGAATGATGGCAACATTAATCTTCATAGCCTCTCCATAAACATTGACTAAGAAAAATGAACGACAATTACTCTTCTCTCAATTTCTTTTACATATCATTATTACTTAACTCGTTCTGAGTTTGGCCTTCATTAACAAATTTTGTCGACATTTCAACTTCCATAGGTACAATTACTTTCCACATCGGTTGTCATTTTGTCGCTAATTTAATGTGAACCGGAAAAAACACATCCCGACCCATGAAAAAATAGAGCTTTATGGCAAAAATAAGTTAAGCTTAGTTATTTTTTCTTCCTCCTTACTATTCAGTTTGCAACAGAGTCTGAACTCCTCTCATTCATGCTTAATGTTTTTCAGTATCCGCATCGTGAAAACCCTAGATATACTTAAAAATAAAAGAAGTATAACAATTACTAGAAAAATAAGAGGAAAACTCTAGTTTTACTTGCAACAAAAACTAAAGGATAGAAGAGTTACATTTCACCTGAAACCCCTAGATTCATCCGAATCTGCCGCAAAAAGAGAGAGAGAGAGAGAGAGAGAGAGAGAGAAACTACTGTGATTTCAAAACAATGGAGAAGGAGGAGGCAGGACGGGGTCCACTCCTGGATCATGAGAAGGACGGAGGAGGAGGAGGCCGAGGTTCGAGCGGAGGAGGCGAAGCTCTCACGGCCGGGGCTGAGGCCTAGGCTACGGAGGTAGAGGTAGGGGTTCGAGGAGGAGGATGCTTGGCGGCGGCGATTGTATTCGCGGAGGCGCTCTTCGGTGAAGGAGGTGGAGGCCGAGGGTTTTAGGGTAAGGGTTTTGGAGTTAGGGCTGGCCATCGTTGAGAGGGGAGTGAGGGAGGGGAGACATTGGAGGAGGTTTTGGAGAGAGTAGGGTTAGGGTTTTGATGGGAACAAGGAGAGAGGGCGAGCTTCACGATGGTGGATTGAGTTTGAATTTGGGGAAGAAGTTGAGCGAGGTGGGGATCAGGATTTTCTCTCAAAAGCGGGAGAGGGAGAGGGATTTGGAGATAGGGATTTGGGGCTGAAAGGGGGAATGGAAAAAATATGGTGGGAATTTTCAAATTTATTTTTAGGGGGGGGGGGGGAAATCATTTTAGACGGAAAATTCCGTCTAGATTGTAATTTTCCGTCTAAAATGTTTGGCCCATTTAAAAAAATAAAAAATAAAAGAACCGTCTAGGATGCTATCTAGACGGAAATTTTATTCTAGAATGTTTATTCTAGACGGAATATTCTAGACGGAAATTTTCCGTCTGGTTTAATATAAAACTAGACGGAAAAAAATCCGTCTAGAATATTCCGTCTAGGATATGAGAATTTTTACTAGTGTGCTCCCCTCTAGCGTCGTCGTCGAGGAGGCTGTAGCCGCAACTTTGTCGCTGTAGGCATGTCCCTTCTTTAGGGAGAAGTGATATATGCTTCCTGAATTTGAATTTGATTGTAGAACGAATCTATTAGTTTTCTCGTTAATAAATGAATGAAATTAGTGGAAATACCTCTTGCTTGTTCAAAAATTAGTAGAATTAATGAGCAATATAAGAGGGTGGTTTTCTAGTCATATTTTTATACTCTCAAGAAAACCAATCTAAAGATAACCACTAACAGGTAGAAAACTGAGCATTGACGACGGGGTATTGACGACAGATTTGAAATCCATCGCCAATACAAACATTTGCGATGGAAAGATACATATGTTATCAGATTCTTATGTTAAAATGTTTTTAATTAATTAGGAATTCTATGTTAGTTTTTAAATTTATTTATTTTTATTCTTTATGCTAGTAGATTCGATGAACTCCACTACTCTGGGCTTCATTTACGGATGGACTTGAGCCTGTAAACATCATTAATGAATCTGAGAGGAGATAAATTAGATTTAATCACTAAAAATCGGATGAAAATTGTTTGGATAGAGTTCTCTTGGAGTTTTTTATAAGGTTAAGAGGAGAAAGAGCCGTCAAAATTGAGTTTGAGCGAATATGATATAACAGGTCCTGTGTTCGAACTCTTGGATCGCCACTACTTTCTTTTTTTTTTGAAATTTTTACATATATACCCAAGCATTGTATATATTTGTAAATACCCCCCCAAAGCATCATTTTACTAATTTCCCCCTCTAAATTGTCTTTTCCATTTAAGCTAATGTCTCAAATTGATGATGCCAAATGAAAGCGAGCAAATCTCGGCTATTTTATCATAAGAAATAGCTAGCGTTATCCAGTCTATCGCCTAAGAATATGAAAGAAATGTACTTTAACATTAATAAAAGGAAACAGTAAAATATAAATTATAAATAATAACTTTTTTAGGTATCAAGTTGACATCAACCATTTTATTAATAACCAAAGTTGACTTAACATTCTGTCGATATCTTACATTCTATCTCTAATGCAGAACAACAAACAAAAGTAGAAGAATAAAGCAGAGAAGTGCATCTTTTTTCTAACTTAGGCATCAAGAAGAACATAAGCATTGTTTGCCACTCTCACTCATTGCTCTTAATTCCGTTGGCTCTTCATAATTGAGCCTCTTTTTTAGGAATCAATTTGAAACTCTTACTAAACCCTAATAACTTTGGGAATTACGAAAAACCTCAAACATTTTGATCTTTTTCACTTAACGGCACGTAATGACTACTTTGTAATGTTTTTTTTTTAGAAAAAAAAAGAATGGATTATCACAAAGATAATCCAGCCAGCTAAATTAGACTACTTTGTAATGTTTATGTGACAACCACTGTTTGAAAGCTTAAAATATGTGTCTAAGTCGTCGTGGGGATTATGTTAAAGAAAATCAGAACTTTTTGCTGGTTTTCTAAGGTTTCCAGCTTATTGGGTTAATTTTAGCGAATTTTTCTTTAAAATTAATTATTTTACTAGGTATATTAATCCCAACTTCCAATTGAAATTCATGGCTCGGCTTAAAAATTTCCACTGCAAGATTATACTCACATTATATAGCTCCAGATAAGTTTAACCTGTCGCACATCATTCACTGTAAACTATGGTTTCCCTTGTATTTATTTACAAATCACTAGATTTTTGTTAAGATAACAAAACATACGGCTCCGAATTTATCGACCACCCCAAATATCATTAACTGTAAAACTATGATTACCCTCGTGCGTGTGAATTATTCATGACTAATCACTAGATTTTCGTTAAGATAACAAAAAGATGACCCTGAAATCATTGACCGGGCCAAGTCGAAAAGCAATCCGAGCCGTGACGTGTCATCACAAATTAATTAGTTGTCCTTAACAATGGATCAGGAACTAATTAAGGGATCCGCGCGCCATTAAACATGTCTTTCCTTTTTCCGTGGGCTTCGCTAGTACTCATTACACCGTGATCTACATTAAAGCAGAGCTATGATTATTTCTCTTTCTTTATTAGTATATGAGGACGGTTAGGTCGATCGGTACCAGCCGTCTCTATCTTTCCGAGTTAAAAAAATGAAAGAAAAGAAAGAAAGAAATGCACCGGCCACCATGATCTTGACAAAAGCATAGATACATTTTCGCATAAATACATGCACATATACATGCATGTAGGCGTTTGAGAGCTCGTTCAATTACAACTCTTCCCCGCCCCGCTCCCTCCCTAAATTATTCAGCTACATGATGAATAGGAGTTT